ACATGTATATACGCATGCTACTCTACTCTACTCTAAGTTTTTACTATAGACTCTGTTATGATTGTGTTATAAATATACCAGAGATATATACCAGAATATACTTTTCTATATATGCCCCGTTTGGAGGGCTTAGCGACCAGAAACGAGGCATATATAGAAAGCTAACGATCTTCCCCTCCAACCTCTGCTTGGAGAATAGGTCCCGCAAGGTATCGCTAAAAAGCAATTCCCTAGGGAATGCATCGGTGGAATTCTTAGAATATTTTTATTCTAAGGCTCCGCCCCTTAGGCGTTGCCAAAAATCAACTGTTTTCCGTCAGCGACATCGCATTTTGCCTCCAGTATGCTATGGGATAGGGTTGATTCGGCGTACTACATTAAAAGAATGACAAGAAAATTGTCTCTGAAAGTCCAGCTTTCCTGATTGCCCAGAAATTGCATTAGATGCCTTTAAACTGGATAATTCATTATACGCATAACGTTACAGTACGTATGTCATTACGAACTGATACATATACAACAAGAATTCGGAGATCCATGAAATATATGAGTTTTTCTGAATGTTTTTACACAGTACACTACAGTACAGAACGAAAAATACAGGTTTTTGGTTTCAAACACACAGTAGCACCTTTGGCCTGGATATGGTCATGTAGACTTTTCCCGTGGGAGAACCTCATTAATCAAAACCTGTTTTCCCTGCCACCCCGCACATCTGCTTTCCCAGAAGTTCTGCTGCAGTACCAAGGTCAGCCACCAGGAGGCCCATATTTGACCTTGACCTTTGGCTTCCTAAGACCTACCAGCATACCACATATCTTCACAATCCATAAAGGCGTTCTGAAGTTATGCTGACTACAAATGTGCGGAAACACACACACACACACACACACACACACACACACACACACACACACACACACATACACACAGACGCGCCAAAAACAATACCTCCATTTTTAAAAATGTGCATGTAGAATGCAGGTGGCCCAAGATGCTCCCACTTCCCTACTATCAGTGTGGCATAATAAGGATATGATGAGTATTTGATAGTCGTCTCGCAGAAAATCTGTCGTCTGCATGATTAGTCAGGCTTCAAGGTATTTACATGTAGTTACAGTGCAAACTGGTATCACATCGCCCTACAGTTTAAATCAGGCCACAGCAATTTCGAAAAAAAAGAAATTTTGTTTCCCTTTGACATAAATGGGTGAATAACTTATGCGCTTTGATCATCCTGTATTAAACAAACCCATTTCAAATTATATCTTTAACATCACAAAGAAAAGAGAGGAAGCCGAACTTCTGTATTAGTGTAGTTTTAGAGCTGTTTGTACTACAAACATTAAAATTACCTTTTCATCTGTTCACCTGTACTTAGCCCGATAGGTTATTATTTATCAACAATAGAGTCTGCGGAGGATGTCATCCATAAAAATTCACTTGCTGTGGCCTTAGGTTCACCTGTTCTTCTGAGAATCTTTAAGTATGAGTTCCTGGGAAAAGACTTGTAATGTTCCAAGAACTTACATGTACCTAATTTTAGACGACGCTCTTGGCGGTAATGCTGATCATTTTCTGATAAGGCTACATCAAGTAATTTTTATGGATGACATCAGCGCGCGCATTAATTTTCGCCTGATTTTGAAAAAAAAAAGAAAAAGAAATTTTGTTGCCTTCTGACAGTGGTCAACATGCCAAAAATAGGCAAAGATGTCTGTTGCCATACAGGAAGGTGGGTGTCAGATAACTATAAGGAGAGGATGCAAGAAAAGGCTCAGATTTAATGTTTTGTTTCTTACTTTGATGCAGTGATATGTGATGGTGGCTGTGCATACATGATGTTCCCACTGAATCAAAACCATTTGTACAATGATTCAGTCAAAATTTTAAAATGTAGGAACCTTTTTTTTCGGCCCGCCTTGTTGTTTTTTTTCGCCCGCTCGCATTAGATTTGGAGTCTGCGGAGGATGTCATCCATAAAATTTACTTGCTGTGGCCTAACTACCTTCATTGTAGACGACGACCCTGACATTCTACACACGACGATCTTGACTGATGTTGGGTCTTTTCCAAGAACTTCAATAATTTCAGACGACGATCACTATTCGCAGAATCCAAATTACATAGATAACGGTTGGCTTCTACTTAGGGAGTCCTTTGAAAATTGTCTACCTTTAGAACCTATGACAAAGAACTGTCTGTTGTTACTGTATCTTATTTGGTATCTACATGGGCCATTGGATACGTGTATACATGCATGTAGTACAAACAGATGTGTACTATGCAGCATGAACTGTGCCAATAATTACCTCCATGAAAAATGGAGGTATTGTTTTTGGCGCGTCTGTCTGTTTGTTTGTGTGTGTGTCTGTCTGTCTGTCTGTCTCTCTCTCTCTGTGTGTGTGTGTGTGTGTGTGTGTGTGTGTGTGTGTGTGTGTGTGTGTGTGTGTGTGTGTGTGTGTGTGTGTGTGTGTGTTTGTGTTTCCGCACATTTGTAGTCAGCATAACTTCATAACGCCTTTATGGATTGTGATGATATTTGGTATGCTGGAAAGTATTAGGAAGACAAAGGTCACGGTCAAATATGGGCCTCCTGGTGGATGACTTTGGTACTGCAGCAGAACTTCCGGTTTTTGTATCTTTTGTCCTGAACATGCTATTGGTGACAGATTTTCCTGTCAGGAATAAGTGGTGTGGGTTTTGTCCCCCTAGCAGCTTGTTCTTGAACTACAGGGGACCTTAGGGCGAAATCTTTGAAAGCCAATAAGTCCAGATAGGAAAAACGTATTTTCATCATTTTTGGTAGGTAGGTAGCTGAGAGAGATGTACATAATTAAATGCAAATTATGCAAATGAGGACTTCATTTGCATAATTAATGAGGACATTCTATAATTACAGTGTATTACATTGTAGTACTTTCATACATGTATAAATGTATGTAACCTATGGCAGATGGAAATCAACAGATACTAATTATGCAAATGATGACCTAACTTGCATAATTAATGCGAAAATTCTATGGTGAATGATGGGAATGTCATACTTGGGACATCTGTAAGTTAATCAAATTTAACATCACGATACATATATTATGTTAATGCAGAGGTCATTTGCGTAATTAAAGAAGAAATTTAGATTGACATATCAAGCCCATATTTCATGGAGGTCTTGTTTGAAATGAGTTGCTGAGATGTTTATTGTTTATTTGACAGATCTCCATTAGTGAGTACAATACATACTACAGTAGTCTCACTCAGGCCGATGAAATCAAATTTAATACGTACGGCAGTTTTGCTGTACATTTTACTTAGATTGTGTCAAAAGTGTGCTAAAATTAACCTAATCATTAACATACTAATTCCCGATTTTTTCACTGTACTGTTACATGTATGTTCACTGTTTTCACTGTCACTTCTGTACCGTGAACTTATCATTACAGTTTACAAATAATTCATGGACTTTCTCTTTCCTGCACCTGTCGCCACCATATAGTTCCGTGAACATGTCCATTTTTCTCAGATTTTGCCACAGTGAACATAAAATGAATTACAGTAGTAGATAGTATACTTATAGTCACAAATACAAACAATCTTTACTGTACAACAGAGGTAGATTAGATGAGGTGCTTATGTGGCCCCAGTCTGCCGTTTTCCGACCTCCACAAACAAAAGGTTGACGAGGAAGACAGCCAGCACGGCCACACAGCTACGTAACATTAGGTGCCTGGGAAACATGAAATGTTACTTGGTGAGACTTTAGCCTCCTTCGCAGTCTTGTTGGGCGTGGGCGTTATTTTTTTTCTGTGAGCGACGTGAGTAATTTGCGGCCGCGAGGGACGATTTGCTGCCGAGGGAGTTTTTGCCGCGGAGAGAAGGTTTCGCGCTCCTTTTCTC